TTTAATTTAATCAGTTTCCCTCTGGGATTCATAAAGTATTTTTTAATTGAATTGAATTGAATTTGTTACATTAAATATGTAAGTGATTTACTACCTGCTAGCCACCGAAGCTGCAACTACTAAGCCGCTAACCAACCACAGATAACTGCTTTGGATATAAATAAAAAACATTTCATATATCAGCCTGATAGCTACAATTAGTTGACTTACATTTAAAGTTGAAATTTGCCCCCGAAGTATCTGCCGGCTTCTGATCCGCCATCCTTTTGAAAATACCGCGACGTATTCTGATGCATTTTTGACCAAGGCTAGGCTACAAGACACCTCCCGTGTATCCTTGCTCAGCTAGCTAAACGGCTAACAAAGACGCCTCGGAGAACAGACGCCTATGTAGAACATGAACACTGGAAGACGCCTTGGCAGTTCCTCATGATGTATCTCCTAGGCACCTGGGGTGGGACCAAGACATGAAGGCGAGGTTCCTTGACACTGAGAAACACCCTTGGAGTGGAAGAATGAGGAAGAGGATGAGGACCACAAGCTGTGGTTCTGTCTGACATTCATTTAGATGTTCCCAGCACATCCTGGAACATGAGAGGTGTTCCAACATTGTTATTTGTTGGTTTCCTTTCATTCAACAAAGCGTCAGCAGTAGCTCAGGCTAGCCATGATCTACAGTTAGCATTATAAAAACAAAATTTTTTTTTTGCCAATGTTGAAGTGGGTGTGGACATGCTAAAGTAAGGTGGTGTGCCTATGACATGTTAAACCAGCTTTTCTCAGAACAAACCATTTCTTTGTGGCCATTACAGCATTCCTAATTTAAATCGGAAAGCAGGTTGGAGACGACACAGACACCCACATTGGACACCCCAAGCTGCCTACATTCAACAACAACAAGGTCAATGTGGTTTTAAACTCTGAGAGCACTGTAAATTAAAGTTGCTGCTGTTTGTTTGAGAGTGCAAATCAAAACTCTTGGTCTCTCATTCCACACAAACTCCTTTTTAGTCTGCAATAAAATCAAAAGATTTAATAAAAATCCCCACAATGAGGTGCATGTAAAGCACCCGTGTTTCCGAAGCCTGAAGGCTTCGTCAAGTCGTTCTTAAAAGCAGTAAAAGCACAAAAACTGTCGAGCTGTTTCATCACAACGTGCATCTGTGAGATCAAGTTCGCATCATTCGTGTAAATGTTGACATTACAAGACAAATCCCATCTTCACAAACCAGAGGGGAAAATATGAGAGGGTGCTGGTTTACCTTGGTGTGTACACGACTTGTTGCTTCCCATTGGTTAGTGCTTGCAAGTATTAATCCTAAAATATGATTGCTCAGATACATTTTTATAAACCTTGTATGCTTTTAACTTCTCGTTAGTCTCCGACTTGTGTCCTTCCATCACAGCAGCTGCTGCCACCATTCTCTGTCCGAGCAACGCCACACTGTTTGTCTCTGACTCATTTAAGGACATTTAGTTTCATCTGGGACATCTGCTGTCAGCAGCTGTTTATTATCAAATATAGCACAGAGCAAAAGTTTCAATCCACCCCGGATTTCTTCATTATCAAGTGAAACATTACTCAAGACCGCTGAAAAGCAAATTTGCAACGAGAGACAACAGAAGACTTCCAGTAGGAGGTCTGGGTCCTTGGTTTTATCCCCAAACTGGGTCAAGGGCTAGAAACATGAGGAAGGAGCAGCGTAGTTAAATCGTGGCTACAGTCATCTCCTGGGAAAATTTCTCCTTGAAAAAGGGACTGTTACCTTTATAAAATGTTCCCATTCTTAAAGGGCACATCACCGGACACCACAACGGCATTCACAAAGAAACCTGGTGCCTCGAAGAGCAGAATATTCTCAGTTTGTCTCTGACACACTTTAATCAGAACTAGTGAGAAGTTTATTTGAAGTAAACTAGGTTATTCTGAAGCAGCATGCGATGCAACAAGCTTTAAATAACCAGATAATTGTGGAAAACAAGGCATGCAACCCCAACACCTAAACTAGATCAAAAGTTATTTTCTGTCGGCAGAAACTGACCCCTTTTTTCCATCCTAACCCGTTTAAACCATCCATCTTCTTTAAAAGCACCAGTGTGACAGATGGAAATGACCCTGCTAGGGTTGTATAAACTATTAGTTATTTTTATACATTTCTAGTGATGTGAGAATGTGCAGACTCTCCTGCAAACCCATCTGGATTCTGTCAAAGACTGTCTTCTTGCTCAGTTTTAGCACTTTAGGTTAAAAAAATAAAACACAAAATACATTTACAGCTTGTTTCTGCATAAAACATAAAATAGTATTTTAGGAGCAAATTTGTTTAGAAATTTGTGAGAGTAAAGAAATCTGAAGATGTTTTATTTTGAAAGGAATAGAACACAAATGTTAGAACGATGGGTCAGGATGATTGTGTTTTTTATTCTGAGAACTTTTTCCAAATTTTTGGTTGTAAAGAAAATTTTCAAATGTAGCGAGGTAATAACTAGACGCTGCTGA